TTTTCATGTTTTCACTTCCAGTCCGAAAACTATTTTAGGAAATGTCGTCTTTGTTTCAAAGACGACATTCATCCAATCATCTAGCTAAATTTGCTAAATTTGCACAATTAATGTAAGTAAACTTATACTATCACCTATCTTAGGAACCCAGCTTTGCACGGAAACTAAACTTTATCAAAATTTGAGGCAAATCAGTTGGGGTTACGAGGCAAATCAGTTGGGGTTACGAGGCAAATCAATTGGGGTTACGAGGCAAATCAGTTGGGGTTACGAGTTCTTTTCAGACATGCTAAAAGTAAAACAAAACAAACAATAACACCAAGACAAACAGAGATTACTACTTTAGTGGTCGGCGATTATATGAGTACAATGAAGACGACATTTTATCAATAATGCTTTGATCCCTATATATAACAGCTTGATTAGTCATCAAGCTGTTGGTTGCAATCATGAAGCTTCTGGTGGTAGTTTTGAAGGATTTAGTCGAAGGAGTTGAAGTCCTGATGGTTCTAGAAGAAGTTCTGATTCTTCGAGTAACATTTTCAAGCTTCTGGTAGCTATCCTAATGCTTTCTTTTCTACGAGTAAATATATTACCTATTATGTTTTGCATGGGTATTTAACTATAAATTAGCAAATCGAAAAAAGAGAGAACAAGTTTTCAGCTTGTCCAAACTGGTATTATAGTATTGTCCAAACTGGTATAGTATTGTCCAAACTGGTATAGTATTGTCCAAACTGGTATAGTATTGTCCAAACTGGTATAGTATTGACAAAAAGGTTCTTTTGATAGATGTTTTTCGGGAGAATGAAGGGAAGAAAGTGAAACTGGTCACTGATAAAGACTACAATGTGATCAAGGAAGAGTCAAGGAGAACGGTGTCTCCCTAGAGGTTCACCAGAGGCAAAAGAGGTATCACTGCTCTGGATAATCTTCCTTACCCGCAAACCAAAATTGTCTAAAGGAACTGAGTTCTTGCAACAAACTCTTGTTTTTACATCTCTATATCTTTGCAACCCGATGATGTTGTAGATCTTGATATTTCAAACTATAAATTAGGTTGTATCACATTACTTCATTAAGTTGTGAAGATACAGAGAGTCCCATATCATATTAGATTATCTCCAATCATTAACGCCAAAATACGAACATAATACTCGAAAAATCTAGCAATTTCTGCAAAAAAAATTTCGATTAAATTTTTCAAATTGATTCATTCTTCTTACATTTTCCAATTTGTCCCCCAAAATCGTAATTTAGACAGATTGACGCGGCCTAATTTGATGTGGGACAACCTGTATATGGATTAGAAAATGTGTGTGACAAGAACTCAGTTCCTCAGTATGTAATAAAAATTCAAAAAGCAGATTGCGATTGATTTTTAAAAAATTCAGATATTGTTTGGATTAAAATTATTATTTTAAAGGGTAATGTTTTGAAAATTTCCTTTCTGATCTTTAGTTTAGATTTTCAGATAAATGATTTTAACTTCAGCCAACCTCCTATCTTTTTATTCTTGCAATTTACTCACAAACTTATTTTATAAAACTTTTGCACATGAAAGTTCTCTAAAATATTGGTTTCACAAACATTTTTTTAGAATTCTTAATTTTTTATTCTGTTGTTGATTAAAGATGTTTTATTACGATTGTGCACATAACACTCTCTATTAAAACCTTAAATAAATACCGTAATATAAGTTTCAAAAAAGTCAATATATGTTCTTTATTACTTGGTGTCAATGAATTAATTGTAAAAATTCAACCATAAGTTATGATAATTAATAAGCTAAAAATTATTATGAAGGTGCGCTTTGCTCTACATGATTATGTGAATAATGGTAGAACGCTATTTTTACATTTTTATAACAATCACAAATATAATAACAACATTGGCGCCTTTAAAGGGACTGTAAAAAAAAATGAAAGGGGGTATAGGAGAAAACCTGAACGATACTTATCAGACATCTATCTTATGTTTTTGACTCGAGAAAAGACTGTGTCAAAATTATACCAAAACGGACATGTCAGATTTTGTATAAAAGTTGTAGCACAAATCGTATTCAACATTATGCAACCAATCTGAAAACGATTATATCCCAGAAGCCTGAGAATCTCAGGTTTGCTCCTATTATAATTTTTTTTTATTTTGCATTTTTAATAGATATAATTGATAATATTAATATTATTACATATAGTCCGTATAGTCCGTATTACGTCACAATAACTTTAACCAATGACAGTGCAGTATCGTTGTCACGTTTTACAGATGGAAATCATGTGACCAGTATACTGCACTGTCATTAGCTGAAGTACTGGTGACGTAATAAGGACTATACGGATTAAATGTAATAATATTATTATATCTATTAAAAATGGCAAAAAAATTATAACAGGAGAAAACCTGAGATTTCCAGGTTGCTGTTGGGCATAGGCGTTTTCAGATTTGTTGCGTAACTGTTGAATTTGATCTATTTAATACTACAACTTTTATACAAAATCTGGCATATGTCCGCTTTGGTATAGTTTTGACAAAGTTTTATATCTATTTCTCGAGACAGGAACATAAGATAGATGTCTTATAGGTTTCGTTCAAAAATTGGAATTCTCAGGTTTTATCCTATACCCCCTTGCATTTTTCCTTTACAGTCCCTTTAATACTTTAAAAAGTAAAAATTCCTATCTGATTTTTACTTCAGTATGAGGTGTGGAGGCTATTAAAGTAAAAAACATTACACAACACCATGACCTAAAACTTTTAGAATATAACAATTCCAACTCCCAAGTCCCAAGGTTAGAATATGACAATCCCAGCTCCCAAGTCCCAAGGTTAGAACATGACAATCCCAACTCCCAAGTCCCAAGGTTAGAATAAGTTTTCTGCCAGTGCCTTGCATATATTCTTTAAATGGCCTAGTAACTGTACATTTGATAAAGAAAGAAAAAATGTTTACAAATGCAGGGAGTAAGGAATTTATGGAAATAGTTCAGCATATATATCGTGTAGTCGTCTCTGAAGTCTCATCCCTTGTGGTTTACCCTGTATCTATTGACAAACTAAAGAAGTAGGATACTCGACGCAACTCAAAAAATGTAAAGAATTGTCAAATAATTTTATGTTTCACAGTTCTACAAATGCTGCAATTCTAAATCTAAATCTTTTTAAAAATTGTTAGACTCAAGCCTCAAGTAAAAGGATCGCAGGTGTCCCAATAAGCATGAGACCTGAGAGCCGACCAAAAAACGTTTATGATTTCTGACAGATTTCAATCGACATCTCAATTTTCATGTATCAAAGAAAGGTTATAGAAATTGAGACTTTAAGTTTTTTGAGTCTTTTAAGTTTTTTAAATTTTAATTCTCCAATTCTTTAAAACTTACATTTTAACATTACTTACTTAATTTAATAACTTGAATTTTGGATATCCATTATAGGAATTAAGTCACAAACTCAAATTATCAAATCTCTATATCTTTGCAACCTGATGGTGTAAACCTTTGATATTTCAAACTTAGATTATTAGATCTATCAAAATTCAAACATTAAAAAGTCCAATAAGCGTGGGACACATCAGTTGTGCAGTGGAAACTGGTCCATTTCACTCAATTACGAAATTGGATTGCATAAACATAAAGATAAAAATCCAAATCTTAAAGGGAGCGTTCACGAAAAATGAAATAGGCTTAATACTATAAAAAAGCGCTTTTGATTGCTACTAATCTTACTTCTATCTGTTGCGTCTATAAGGAGAAAATTGTTAAAAACGACTCACACCGAAGAACGCAGCGTCCATACAAATTCGGAAAGATGCAACATTCAACTCGGATCGTAAACAAATCAATTTAATTCCAAACAAATCATTCAGATATTACAAACAGTAGTCATCGATTATTTTTCGTGTTAGGTGAAAAATGTCTGGTAATTTGTTCAAAGAAATATTTTAAAGTCGACATCTAAACCTCATGTTCATTGAGACGCCCTCCATCTGTCAAAAAAGTAATTTTTTATTAAAAAAAGTAAATTTTTGGGAAGTTCCCACCCCTATTCCTTTTGTTTACTTCTGTGCAAGTTTCCTAAACTCTTGAATAAAAAACATCCAATTTTATTTCTGTGATTCCCATAAATTTAAAGAACTGGTTTTTGTATCAAATAGATTGCATTTCTACTATCTAGGTCTCTTTCAACTGTAAGGACCAGTTGGCTACTTTCTCCATTAATCGTTTTATTTACATTGTTCTTTTTAATAAAGCAATTCATGTAAATAGTCTAAAATAAGGTTTTCTTGAAATTTTTTAAAGTTAAATTGAAGAGATAATTGTTGTATCTAGTTATTGGCCTAAAGCACTGTGTCTACCTACCTACCTGCCTTTACTGTGCAAACACAGGCAGTTATATCTTAGTAGCAGACGTAGTTCATATTGTAAACACAGTTTCAATCCAACAAATATATATAATATTTGTTTACATTAGATGTGTACTGCACTTTCTGGGAGGAATATAAACAATACTTGATTTCAGACAAATTTATTATGAAAATAAAGACTTCGGGATTCTTTGGGTCCCAATCTAGCAGATCACTTCCATGTGTTATAATTATCCAACAGTTACAAATGTAGCAATTTAGCTAATTATAGTGTGGTAGCTTTGTTCAACAGGTTCAACTGTAGCAGTGTAGCAGTTCATAGTGTAGTGGTTGTTTAACAGTTTAAACTGTAGCAGTGTAGCAGTTCAAAGTGTAGTAGATGTTCAACAGTTTAAACTGTAGCAGTGCAGAAGTTCTTAGTAGATGTTCAACAGTTTAAACTATACCAGTGTAGCAATGAACAGTAGTTGTTCAACAGTTTAAACTGTAGCAGTGTAGAAGTTCATAATGTAGTAGATGTTCAACAGTTTAAACTGTAGCAGTGTAGCAGTGAAATAGTTATACATTTAATAATAAAGTTTTTAGAAAACAGAATATAAATTATGATTAATATTTCAGAATAAACTTTATTTAAAAGATGGCCGAAAGTGATTTGAGCGAAGAAGACTCGCATTCTAGTTTTGAGAAAATGTACTCAGAGAAACTGGAGAAATTAAACCAGGTACAGAGAAACAGGAAAAATTAAACCAGGTACAGAGAAACAGGAGAAATTAAACTAGGTACAGAGAAACAGGTGAAATTAAACCAGGTACAGAGAAACAGGAGAAATTAAACCAGGTACAGAGAAACTGGAGAAATTAAACCAGGTTCGGAGAAACAGGAGAAATTAAACCAGGTACAGAGAAACTGGAGAAATTAAACCAGGTACAGAGAAACAGGAAAAATTAAACCAGGTACAGAGAAACAGGAGAAATTAAACTACGTACAGAGAAACAGGTGAAATTAAACCAGGTACAGAGAAAAAAAAAGAAATTAAACCAGGTACAGAGAAACAAATTTAACCAGGTACAGAGAAACAGGAGAAATTAAACCAGGTACAGAGAAACAGGAGAAATTATACCAGGTACAGAGAATTAGGAGAAATTAAACTAGGTACAGAGAAACAGGAGAAATTAAACCAGGTACAGAGAAACAGGAGAAATTAAACCAGGTACAGGGTGTCCTACTAAATTTCTTAAATATCGTCTTTAATATTTTTATAGCTATCTGATGACCAAATGTGTAACATAAAATATTGACATGGTAGGCGCTTATATAAATATAATGAAGACGACTTTGGGTTTCAGTTTTTATTTAGATCAAGCATTTAAACAGCATAAATACACAAAAACATGGAAACAAAGAGAAGCTGTCAATAAAAAAAGCTTCTCATTGATTACTTTTAAGCTTTTCAACGATTAAAACAAGAATAAAAAAGTCGTCTTTATTATATTGATAAATACGCCTACCACCGTAGGTAATAAATCTTAATGTTGTTTTCATTTTCGTTTTTAGATATTACTTGTGAAGATATTTTTTTTCAGAATCCTGAAGATGTTTTTCTAAACAATTCTCAACCTCAATCTACCTTAACCTCTCATCCTCAGCTTCAACGACAACCCGGAGTAGCTCCAGGTTTAACCTCCAGTCAAGTATCTCTGGGCACCGGACTAGAGCCTTCTAGTTCGGTTGGACAGGTTGGGACTCCTCATTGTATATCAGGACCAAACTGGTCTCCTGGGCTGGGTCCATCCTGGCCTAGTGGGCCTTCATGTTCAGCTGGACCAGTCCCTGGACCTGGTCCGGTCACTTTGGGACTAAATCCACCTTGTCAAGGTCAAGTAACGGCTCCAGGTTCTTTTCCGAACACACCGTCCACTGGTTCCTATATGAGCACCCCTTCTCCGGGAGCTTATCTGAGCACCCCCTCCCCTGGAACCTACCTACCTGGGTTCCCTGGCTTACAACAAGGGTTTTCAGGAATATCGGAACCTAGTTCTCAACAGCAGGTCACTCCGGCAGTTACAATTATAGGTCAGATTATCTAGATATCTTTTCAGATTTTTTCAAAGAAATCTATCTGACAATGAACCATTTAAACTACAGTAGGGCCCATAAAACTTTTTTCCGGATTGTTTGTATATTTCCCGGGTGTCTACTTTATTTCCCGGGTGAAAATTTGCGTATAGCTTAGTTATATGGGTTGTTAAATAAAAGCAAAATAAATTTATAATTTTTTGCATTTAATGAATTTATTGAACCATCTTTAAACTTGTCTGGAAATAACTACTTTCTATAACACTAAAGCATGATTTGCAGTAGTAAGCTGCAACTCATAGAACAATTATTTCACCCCTTTTAGCTTTTAAAAATTGAATGAGATATAACTAAAATTAGCAAAAAGGAATTGAGTCTTTGTCACAAACTAAAATTTTCTGATCCCTATATCTTTGCAACTTGATGGTGCAAACCTTTGATATTTTAAACTTAGATTATTTAATCTACCAGAATTCATAGTTTGAAATATCTAAGGTCTACGGCATTCGGTTGCAAAGATATTAGGGATTAGAAAATCAGAGTTTGTGGCAAAGACTCAATTTAGAATGGAATTCTGCCATAAATGCTATCCAATTATGACTTTAGAAATGTTATCATTTCAAAAATTCAAATAGTTGGCTTACATTACCATATCATCAAATTGCTGAGTTTGGAAAACAATAAAATAAAAATTTTCACAATTTTGTCAAAAATATTGACAATTCACAAAACTCTCCTACTCCTACTCCTACCCAAGCACCTGAATCAGAATAAGACATAATATATATATGTTTCAGTAAACAACTCTCCTACTCCTACTCTTACCCAAGCACCTGAATCAGAATAAAACATAATATATATATATTTATGTTTTAGTAAACAACTCTCCTACTCCTACTCCTACCCAAGCACCTGAATCAGGGCAGGATGACCGGCACACTAGAGCTGACAGCATAAACCAAGTAAACCCAAGGTATTGAAGGGTCTGATAACGGAATTTTTTTTATTATATAATTTTTTTTTTATTTTTCGTCGTCGTTATTTAGTAATTTTTAAAAACCCGATTCTGAAAACGTACCCATCCAAATTCATGATTTTAAACGTCGACTTGCTCTCAAACTCATACATCGTGGACACGTTTTATATGTCTCAAATGAATCTTTGAAAAAATTTATACTATACTTCATAATTCAGTTCAACCACCATATATTGCCGGTTACTCCCTTTAAACTATGAAAAAAATGTCCTCGTTTTTTCATCCAAGCATAAATAATTTCTAGTTGAGGTCTGCAACTAGGACAACCGAACTCTTAAAGATGTTTTAGTGACGACCGTTCAACTAGGACAACCGAACTCTTAAAGATGTTTTAGTGACGACCGTTCAACCAAAATCTTAAAGATGTTTTAGTGACGACCGTTCAACTAGGACAACCGAACTCTTAAAGATGTTTTAGTGACGACCGTTCAACTAGGACAACCGAACTCTTAAAGATGTTTTAGTGACGACCGTTCAACTAGGACAACCGAACTTTTAAAGATGTTTTAGTAACGACCGTTCAACTAGGACAACCGAACTCTTAAATATGTTTTAGTGACGACCGTTCAAATAGGACAACTGAACTCTTAACGATGTTTTAGTGACGACCGTTCAACTAGGACAACCGAACTCTTAAAGATGTTTTGGTGACGACCGTTCAACTAGGACAACAGAACTCTTAAAGATGTTTTAGTGACGACCGTTCAACTAGGACAACCAAAATCTTAAAGATGTATTAGTGACGACCGTTCAACTAGGACAACCAAAATCTTAAAGATGTATTAGTAACGACCGTTCAACTAGGACAACCGAACTCTTAAAGATGTTTTAGTGACGACCGTTCAACTAGGACAACCGAACTCTTAAAGATGTTTCAGTAAAGACCGTTTCTCAATTACATTTCTGATTCCCTGCAACTATAAACTTTTTTCTTTCTTTGCTAAATCATTAAATAAGCCTTTTAAAGACCACACTCATGGCAGAAGACTGAATCTAATCATTTAAAAAAAATCATTTGTATTATTTATTTGTTTAGACCTAAGAATAGACGGAGTAAAGCTAGTGTAGCAGTAAAGTTCTTTTACAAGAATAATCTGATAAATATCCGACCTCTACCCTGGTTTCCGACTCTAGGAAAACACACTTTTAACAAAATCCTAGAAGAAAAACATGGGTTAATTTTTCTAAAAATATCATCCCCCCTCCTTCTTAAAAATGATTTTTCTCTCCAAGTGTCCAGTGCGCATATTAAGAATGTTTGGGGAAAAATTTTATGTTCAATTTTTTTCGTTGGGGAGAGAAATTCTCAAAAACAAAAAGTCAATTTATATTGTTTTAAAGGGACTGTAAAGGAAAAATGAAAGGGGGTAAAGGCTGAAAGCTAATCACTTTAGCTCTTGATCGCGACCCATGAAAGTTATATTTGATGTTCCTATCTCGAGAAATTGATATACAACTTTGTCAAATTTATACGAAAATTAATTTATATACAATTTTTATAAAAGAAGTGGGTTTAGATAGATCAAATTCAGCAAATATGCAACCAATCTGAAAACGATGATATCCCAGAGAAAGCTAATTCTATCTTACGTTTACTCCAATTCTAATTTTATATTTGTTATTTCTATTTTTAATAGATTTAATTCATAATAAAATTTATAAGTCCGTATTACTTGACCAGAAATTCCACCAATTGCAGTGCAGTAAAGTGGTCATGTGATAAGGGTGGAGACACGTGACCAGTATACTGCTCTGCCATTGGTGATAAATAGTTATAATAATGTTAATAATAATATAAAAATTGTAAACAATTATACTTTTGTCCCTCAAAAGATTAAAAAAAAGTAAAAAAAAAAACAACACAATGCCGTAAAAAAATGAACATATTTATTTACCAGGAATGATAAGGGTAATAAGAGTATGAAAGTTCTGATTGAAGGAAGTCCTGGATATGGTAAAACTACATTAGCAAGGTAGGAAGGGGGGACCACTCTATTGATTGAAGGAAACCCTGGATATGGTAAACTACACTAGCAGGGTAGGAAGGGGGGATCACTCTATTGATTGAAGAAAGCCCTGGTTATGGTAAAACTACATTGGCAAGGTAGGAAGGGGGACCACTCTATTGATTAAAGGAAACCCTGGATATGGTAAACTACACTAGCAAGGTAGGAAGGGGGATCACTCTATTGATTGAAGGAAGCACTGAATATGGTAAACTACACTAGCAAGGTAGGAAGGGGGATCACTCTATTGATTGAAGGAAGCACTGAATATGATAAACTACACTAGCAAAGTAGGAAGGGGGGGACCACTCTATTGATTGAAGGAAGCCCTGTATATGGTAAAACTTTATGGCAAAAAAGGTACAAAGGCACCCTTAAAGCGTTATATGATCAATAATCAGGATGTTTTCCTCTTTTTTCTAGCTTTAAAAATATCACAATTTTGTAGCAAGTTCCTTTTAATAAAGAAACCACAGTTAAAAATAACCATGGAATTAAGATTTAAGGGAATTGAGCTATTGTCAAAGACGGTTTAACCGCGTTTCTTGAATCGATGATTCAGGATTTTTTCTTGAATTAAAGTAAAGGGAGCTTTACGATAGTTGAACCGGCGTTAGGTATTTGAGTGACAAAGCTTAAATTTGCTAAACTAGAAATTCAAGGCGCTTCGCGCCCTTCTTTCTAGCCTTAGAGGGCGCTTCGCGACCATCTTCTAAATTAGTTGTGAACATGTTCTCTTTGTGTACATCGTAAAACAAAACAAAAATAATTCGCGGATTTTCACAAAAAAATTTCGCGGATTTTCAAAATTTTTAAAAATTTAATGACGATCGAATTTTGATGGAGACAAATATTTGAAATTTTTATTTTTCATAAACCTTCCCTGGGGTCCCTAGATGTCCCACAAAAAATTTGGGCCCGATCGGTTCAGCCGTTTTGACGTTTATTGGATACAAACAAACAAACAAACAAACAGACAGACAGACAAACAGACAAGCCAAATTTATATATAGATTTGGTCCAAAGATTTCAAATTTAAAATGAATTTATTTCAGACGTATAGCAGTCGACTGGGGTAGAGACGCAGAATATTTAAATAATTTTAATCTTCTCATTTTCATCACTTGCAGGAAAACATTTAAACAACAAGCAATAATTTCCGTTATTGAAGTATTCTTCCATTTGAAAGTTTAGTGGATAATAAAGAAAGAGAAAAACATAAAAGCATTAAGAAATTACACTTTTCATAATCACAGACACTTGCTTTGAGGTCCGTTACCCAATTTTTCCAAAATTTATTTATATTTTGTATTTGTCATTTTTACAGAGTAAAAATCTAACTTATTATTCGTCTAAATAAGACCCACTTTATCTACCTCTCTTTTTTATCTACACTGCCTATGTTTTTAAATGTTGAATGTGTACCAGAGACCTGGAGGGGAGGAACCTTGATGACTATGTTGCAGAATTCTTTCCTAGAGTTTCTGATAATGTAGGTCTTAATAATTCTTTATCTACTTATTTAACAAACAAGAGTCAGAATTTAATGAATTTGAGCCGCGTCTCAAATCCGCCAAAAAAAAACGGTTTTAATTGAGCGCCGGCTAAAATCTTGAAACATACAACTTTAAGTGGAATTAAATATATTTGAGCCGGGCCGCAGCTCAAATTCTTTAGATTCGGCTCAAGGTAACCTACAAATGATGGGACAAATACGCCCAAAAATAGAGATTGTTTATATAGAGATGCTAATTACTCCAAAAATGTAAAACCGTTTTTTGTTGTACTGTCATCCTATTGCAGGCGTAATTAATTACTTAAACATTTTTGCCCGAAACTATATTTTGGGCCCTGGAAAATTGATTATCCTTTATGATCCATTCTTGGCAGTTTGGAGCAAAGTAACAAAATCTATATTTAAATAAATTGTCGGCTTCAAATATTGTAATAATGTCGGCTTCAACCTCAAAATATTGTAATAATGTTTAGACTTCTGAGTCACAGATACGCCTTTCAGATTGGATGGATGTTAGGTATTATTATTGTTATTATCATTATTATTATTATTATTATTATTATTATTATTGTTATTAATTATTAACTGCAGTGAGGAGATATTGTTTATCCTGGATGGATTGGATGAATGCAGAAAAGAAGATTCTAAAGTTATAAACAAACTTCTTGAGGTAAACTTCAGAATATTATCTTATTCTTTTGAATAAAAGATGGAACCTTTTAAATGGTTGGAAAGAGTTAAACTCATTTCCTCGTCTTTCAGAGATCTTTGATCAATCTTCATACGTCATTTTGTTTGATAGGAGTTTGGCTAATCTCACATATAACCTAAAGTAAAATGCAGTTAAAATTGAAATCTTATATGTTTTAGTAAGAACTCCTACTATATAAAAGCTATTGAACAAAACAAAAACAAAACTGTTTAGAATTTCTAGTATGTATTCAAATGAAGGAAGTTAGTTTTTGTAAAAAAAACTCAGATTTTTTAAATCCTTTTTTAAAACGAAATATTTTTTTTATTTTCGTAAACATATTTAATTTTACAATATTATACATATATTGTTAAAAAGTTTACACGAAAAATGCATTTACAATATAGTTTTGCTATATTTTATTTATAACTAGTGTTACAGTTATACTATTTAAGATGTGAAACGCTATTGTGTCTCATTAAACAGAGACGTTTTACAATTTTTTTGGGCCATTTCCTCATTAAAAGAGCCTTATTAGGTTCGTATAAATCCGTAAGAAATCAAAAGTGAACATAGTGCATTCCGATATCTCTGCAACTTTTGATATTTCAAACTCAAATTATTTGATCTACCAGAATTCATAGTTTGAAATATCTAAGGTCTACGACATTGGGTTGCAAAGTTATAACGATAATAAAATTTTAGTTTGTGGCAAAGACTCAATTCCTTTGCTTATTTCATGTTTGTTCGAGGTTACAAAGTCATACCAATAATCTCACTAAAATCTGACTCACTTTTGTCTAGCTAAGTTTGATCTACTCGCTAGGAGAGAGTAAGCCTAACTGATTTCATACATTTAAAAGTTCTCAACTTCAGGGACAGACAAGTTACCAAAAAGCTTCTATATTGGCAACATCTCGTCCAATCAGTTTCAACGACACTGATATCAAAATCAGGTTCGTTTTCACAACTATTCACAACTAACGTCGAATTTTAAAAATATTAATTTTATCATTTTTTAGTAAATTCTCCACAAAAGTTGAGATAAAGGGGTTCAACAGGTGATATATCAATTTTTATATATTTCTAACTTGTTTTGTTCATAAATATGATGAAGACGATGAAATATTTGTTTACATTTTAGAAACCACGTAGAGAAGTTGATAGATACGTTCTTCGAGAATAACGAGGGAAAAGGGAAAAAACTTAAAGAGAAGCTCTACGGAGGACTTCAGGTTCTATAAAAATAATTCACAATCATTCTTAAATAGATTTAATATTTGCTTTTAATTTATCTTTGCATGAAGTAATCACAATTTTGATCAAAGATTTAAAATTCAAGTTGTCAAGTGTCAAATCAATTTTTCCAGTTTCTGAGTTCAGTATTTTATCTATTTTTAAACTTTTACAAAATACAGTTAAACTTTAAAGGGACTGTACGCGATTCTCCATTAGTGGAGTGGAGTCCGACTCACAACTTCATCATTCAAAATAGATATCCGTGTTTTTGTTTTTGAATTTCATTTGGAAATTCATTGCTAAAGGGACTTGCGCATTTCTTCCTTCAGAAACAATGAAGAAATTATCTGAATTAAACTCTTTTTCAAGACAAAAAAACGACGTTTTCTTCCACATTAATCATATTAAGGTTTCAAGGGCGTTGTGAATTGGACATCCCTGTCTTTTTAAATGGCGGGTCATTTTTTGGAATACAGAAAGTTACTAAAATTAAAAATTATTTTTACGGTTATTTATTTTGTTATTAAATTTTATCTTTTGACATGTTTATTACTTGTGAAGTTCGACATTTAGTTTTTAATTCATAATTAAATGATTGTATACTAATCTAGGTTTATGAGAATTTAGTTTTTAATTAATAATTAAATAATTGTATTCTAATCTAGGCTTATGAGAATTTAGTTTTTAATTCATAATTAAATAATTGTATTCTAATCTAGGCTTATGAGAATTTAGTTAATTAATTAATAATTAAATAATTGTATTCTAATCTAGGCTTATGAGAATTTAGTGACCTGTCCCTTACTGTGTCAACTATTCTGTTTACTTTATGAGGTTAAGATAATAATTTGAACACAAATAATAAGTTAATAAGATATTAAGTTAAGATAATAAGTTTAACAAAATATTATTTCATTTTAAAAGATAAGTAATTAATTATTACATACTGTAATACATGTGTTTTGTACAACTGTACATAATGCCCGGTTACCAATTATGTACCAATTGTTTATTATGCAAGTATATAAAGTAATATAATATATAATAATATAATATATATATAATATATATATGTTTGTCTGTCTGTTTGTTAGGATATCCGTTCAATAACTCATAAGCCCCTGGACTGATACATCTCCAATTTTGATTTGAGAACTAAATAGACCCACGGATATGCTTTCTGAATGGTTTAAATATTCTGTTAAAGGGAGTATTCGCGAAAAATGAAAGAGGGTATAGGCTTACGGCGAAAAATAATCGCTTTTGATCGCTAATAATCTTTCTTATATCTGTTGCGTCTATAAGGAGAAAGTTATTAAAGACAACTTATACTCAAGAACATAGCGTCCATACAAATTTAGATAATTGGAATGCGAATGCGTCGATAATTAATCGATGACTATTGGTTGTAATATCTGAACGGTTTGTTTGGAATTAAATTGATTATTTTACGATCCGAGTTGAATGTTGCAACTTTCTGAATTTGTATGGACGCTACGTTCTTCCACATGAGATGTTTTTAACAATTTTCTCCTTATAGACGCAATAGAAAGAAGTGAGATTAGTAGCGATCAAAAGCGATTATTTTTCGCCGTAAGCCTATACTCCCTTTTTTATTTTTCGCGAACACTCCCTTTAAGTGGGATGAATTTTATAGAGAAAACTACTGGCAAAGTTTGTTTCCCAAATTATTATAATAATATTAAGAACTAGCTTGCTAACTGACTTTGGCCTGGAAATTGAACTTTCGCTAGTCAAGTCAACACAATCCTCTTAGAAGTTCAAAACCAAGCTAATAACCGAGTTCCGCAATCAAAATTTGAGGCAAATCGGTCTGGGAGTTCCTGAGTTATGATCGAATATCCAAACAGAGATTACTACTTTATATGTGTACTAACTTGGGAACCGAGCGTTACCTAGGGTGCTCATTTTTAGTCCCGCCGTTTACCCGCACTTGGTCGTAAATTACGATTTTAGCTTTTTTTCATGATAAAAGTTGACCACTCAACTTAGAATCTCAAAACCAGGCCAAGAACATTACCGTGGTTCGCCTAAGTTCCCCAATCAAAGTTTGAGGGAAATCGGTCAAGGAGTTCTTGAGTTATGATCGGACTGAAACAAACAGACAAACATGAGATTACAGCTTTATTTATATAAATATAGATATATATAGACACTGAGCCTAAAACTTAAAAGAGATTTTTCGAATGTTTCAAACCGAACCCGGCCACGGTACTCTGTACTATTTATTTGTTTAATGTACTCGTATTGTATTGTATTATAGGATGATGAGAACCTCCCTGATAAAGCTACAGATGTGTACATGAAACTGATTAGATGTTTAATAAACAGAGAGAAATCTGCACAGGTTCTTATCTATTTAATAAACAGGGATAAATCTGCACACAGGTTCTTATCTATTTAATAAGCAGGGATAAATCTGCACAGGTTCTTATCTATTTAATAAACAGGGATAAATCTGCACAGGTTCTTATCTATTTAGTAAACAGGGATAAATCTGCACAGGTTCTTATTTATTTAATAAACGGAGAAATCTGCACAGGTTCTTATCTATTTAAAAAACGGAGAAATCTGCACAGGTTCTTATCTATTTAATAAGTATTTTACTCTATAATCAGACATGCGGTTTTTGTCCTCTGTATCCCCCTATTTAACCCTATACCCTCTGTATCCTCTGTACCACCCTATTTAACCCTATACCCTCTGTATCCTCTGTATCCCCCTATTTAACCCTATACCTCCTGTATCCTCTGTTTCCCCCTATTTAACCCTATACCTCCTGTATATAAATGTGTTCAGGGGAAGATGTTTAACCCTGATGAGAATATACCAGCTGTGGACGAGGAAACCCTCAAGATGTTTGGAAAATTATGTATTAAAGCTCTAGAACAGGAACACACCCGTATTTTACTGTAAATCTGACCCGCCCCTCCCCCCCCCTTTGAGATGAAAATATTTTTAGCTAATATTTGAATTATAAAACAGCTTTT